GGTTCGGATGACAATGGGCTTGATGAAGTTCATGTCAGTCAAGACTTGAGTCTGGAAAATGAGGATGAGGAAGACTGGGCAACTTTGGAAGAATCGGCCGACTCCACAGACACCGAAGATGATGGAAATCAGTTTGTTTCAAGAAATCTTGTAAGGTAAAAACTGATTGCTTTGAAAATCAATTTTAGCGTCTAATGTAAAGTCTAATGTTTTGGTGACCCCAATATTGTTATCTATTTCTGGGACCACTACAACATTTTTGAATGATCTCAATTTGAGATTCTTGATCTTTCTAAGTTTTTAAAAAATACGAAAACACTTATTTCATGATTCGCAACTTCAGGGTCACACTGCATTCCATGTGAAGTCAATGCAAGACATTTTTGCCCCAAATATTGAATTGTGTCAATGTTGTAATTCACAGACCCCGAATATCAAAAGTTATGGAGTGCCCCCCCCCTGGGGTTGCAGATATAGAGGAGTTGTCAAAAAATAGAAAATACAGTATGTTTGATTGTGATTAGGCTGAAAATAATTTTCACAGAAACTGTACTGCAGTTTCATCACTCAATATCTGACTTAATGTAAGTCACTGTCTGAAAAGATCCAGCATCAGGCAAAACAACACAAGTCATTCAGCTCCAGTTTCAGGCAAAACAAAATAGAAAGTGCAGTATGTTTCACAATATTGAAAGTATATATTGAAAGTATATTGAAAATACAGCTCCTTCCTTTTTTCACTTTATAACCCTATCAGAGCAGCTTTACAGTTTTGGACCGGTTATACAATACAGTAAACCTCTTTTAGTGTTAGACCTGGGACGAGAGTTGCTGAAGAGCCCAAGTTTGTGGTTTTCTATGGCATGTTGTTGGCAATTTTCAAAACTTTCTGTTTCCGATGCAAAGCTGACAATCCTTCTGTTGAGGTACATCGCACTGGAACAATGGCAACTGTTGTGCAGAAATGTAGGCAGTGCAGAATGCATTTCCAGTGGAAAAGTCAGCCATCACTCTTTGGAAAATATCCTGCAGGCAATGTAATGCTGAGTTTTGGCATCTTGACATCGGGTGTGAGAATAAGCCAGGCTTTGTTGATGTTTAGACACATGGGGCTGTCAGCCATATCTGGACGGACCTTTTTTTATCATCAGAAAAAATTCCTCTTCCCATCTGTGCTCCATCATTGGGAAAGCTATCGCTCATCACTGCTTGAAAAATTGAGAGGGGTCAAGAATGCACAATGGTCTGGAGATGGAAGGTTTGATTCTATGGGTCACAATGCTAAATATGGTGTCTACACATTGTTTTCCAATTCCATCTCCAAACTGGTCCATTTTGAACTGCTTCAGGTGAGCAATTTTTCAGAGTCATTGTTTCTGTGTCATGTGTTTGTCTAAGGCATTTTTTCAATCCTATTGTCCACAGCAACCCAAAAAGTTAAGTACTGTAAGTATAATTATCAATTTCATGTGAAAACAGATAAATCTGCTATTGCCATTTTAAAGTGTTTTAGAGGATTTATACAGCACTCATATTTGGTAGAGTTTCAATGCATCACAGATTATATCACTGAATGAGTGAGAAAATGTATCAACCAAACACAAAAGAAGTAACCACTATATTAAAGATGGCAGTGGCATTTGTGATTTGCATGCAACTCCTAAATGAAACCTTTTAATTTTAAGGCAAATGAATCAGGGTCAAGTAACGCAATGGAACTTGATGGAGCCAAACGTTGCTTTCAGTACATAAAGAATGCTGGTTTGACAATCACAACATTCATAAGTGATCGACACAAAGGAATCGCAAAGTGGATTCGTGAATCACAGCCTGAAACCTCCCATTTCAATGATTTGTGGCATGTCTGCAAAGGTCTCACAAAGAAAATCTTGAAAGGCAGCAAAGAAAAAGGCTTTGAAGTACTAAAATTATGGCTCAAGGGAATACGTAAGCATCTTTATTGGTGTGCCCTTTCTACCAAGCAAGGCTTTGGTGAGTTGATTGTTGCAAAGTGGAGATCCTTGATGCGTCATATTGCAAACAAACATGATGAACATCCGAGTCTGTTATACAACAAGTGTGCACATGTTGAACTTGAACCACGTGAATGGATTCCAATCGGTATGTAAATGTAAATGTTTTGTGGGTACAAGCCTTAAATTTGTTGGAGGCGAATAGTACATCATCCAGACTTTAGTGGAATGAAACCAACCATTCCTTGTTTTTAGTGGAAATCCATTTGAAATGTTTTGGTTTTTGATATTTTGTCAGGTACACCTGCATATGACAAATTACTCAAGATTCTTTGCAACACAACCACTTTAAAAGATGTCCAGAGTCTATCATGTGATGCCCAGACAAGCTGCCTGGAAGGCTTTCATTCAACGTTAAATCACTGGCACCCAAAAATGGTTCACTTTTCTTGGCTTGGTACATACTGCAGGTGAGATCTCAGATGTTATAATTTCAGCACATGAGACAATTGTGTGATGTAATTTTTTATGTGGTTATGTGGCGTGTTGCACCAAGATAGTCTTGTTTGGTTAGTTCTAAAGATTGAAAATGGGAGAAGTATTTAAATATCCAAACAAGATGTCTTGACATAGCAAGCCAAACAGTCATTTAGAACAGAAAAATGTATTTTATCTAGTTAAACCAGACGTAACACATAATGCATCTTATGTTTCAGACATGTTTTGGCTATTTCTCATTTTAACGAGAATCTCAATCGTGAAGCACGAACAGCATTAGATGGATCAGTATGCTACTCAGTTGTTTACCCAAAATTCAAACTTGGGGAAGAAGTTGTCAGAGAAGTTGCCATACCCCCTACATATGGTAAGTAAACCAATAAAATTGTTATTTTACTACTAATTTTGACATCAAACAAAGGTATTCTGTGTTACAGACTGCTTCAATGAGAAAGGCTTTGTTAGTTCTGTTGTTAGAGTCACAAAACTCACAATGTTACAATTGCTTGCAAAATATTTGAAAGACATGAAATGATTCTAGTTGATGAGGTTTAATGTTGTCTTGAAATTAAATGAATAAAGGATGATATCTTTTTTCTATCACTTCTTTGTGTTGGACTTTAACTTAAAAGTAGTCTATCCAGTTAACTTCACTGAGTGCTTTGTACCCCACAAGTTAAAAATTGTTATGAGACTAATAATGCATAAAAATATTGCCTGCCATTGTTAATTAGCCTGAAACACACTTAGCTTTATGCATCAGAATTAAAAATAAAACAGTTACTATGTAACAGTGCGCCAGAGTATCTACAGACCATGAAATTGTATAAATTTTTCCTCATATTGCAGCATATGTGGACAATATAAGAAATGTTTTGTTCAGCACGCCCTTGGAGGAGCTTGGGAGTGTCCTGGACAAGTACACACGGAAAGTGCCAGAGCCTTTAACTGCTCAGTTCCCAAACAGACGTCAAAAGAATGATGCCATCTCTGAATATATTTTAAAGCAGAGCACTACTACACCAATGTACCCTACAGGTAAAATATTTTCTTGTGTTATTTGGACAAAAACTTCACATACTGTTGTCTGTTGATGAAATACAGTATGTAATTACACTGGGATACTGGATCATACAGCAAGGGAAAACCACTTGTTAAACAGAAAGCCTAGTTTTCCATCAAGATATATATAAATTTCTTATGAAAGGGACCATTTAGAAATCATTGGTTCAAGGTCTCATAGAAAATGGGGTAATTGCAAATTCTTATTGTTCATATTTGTAAGAATAGATTGACCAGATTCAATCTGGGATCTTTGGGTCAATACCCTTTCCCATCATAATCACTGAAATCATAATTTGTGTATATTTATATAGAATGTACATTTGCACAGCAGCAGCTAATCTTGCAATCAAAATACAGGTTTTGGTTGTGGTACACTTTTATTTTGCCTTTGTGGTTATATTGTTGGTTTAATTTTTTGCACAGAAAATGAACAAGAATCCTTGCAATTAAGCCTAATGAAACCAGCTGTATTGGCTGAAAGCACAAGAAAAAGGAAGACCAACCGCTGCTGCAAAAAATGTGGGAAACCAACAAAGGGGCATAAACGTGGAAAGTGTGACTGATTTTTGGTGAAACACTCCAGATCTCTCTCTTCTTTGCAAAAGAAAGTATTTGCTTTTATCAAAAAGCCTTACCCTTTCGGTATTTGAAGTCCACTTGTGTTCTACCAAAACTTTTATTAAAAAAGTGGACCTCAGTATGGAAAGGGTTAAGTTTAAAATTTACTGGTTAGAAATTAGCAAAAGTTAAATACACTCAAACAAATAAACTGACTGGAAATGTTTGAGAGCAACTGCTACTTATACTGATATTTGGAACAAACATGTAGTGAAACATGAGGGCAAAAGCCATATTCTGTAGCTTATTTTGTAGAGCTTTTGGACCCTCAGATTCATAAGTTTTGGCACATTTGAAATGTTTGCATATTTTTACTGAAAATGAGTCAGATCTAAACAGTTACTCTCAAATATTTTAATGCTTAAAGTCTTATTCATTATCTGCATAACCAGTAGTAGCAGCTGTCTGGAATTTTGTCCTTATGTTATGGTATATGCAGGCTGGCAGTGGTCTTCTGTTGTCCCAACCAAGGTAACCACAGAACCAACGAATTAGCCATCTGTAGGCAACAGCTCTAAGATACCTGAAAAAATATGTTGATTCTTATTTATGCCAAAGACTGATCTATTTTATTTATGTTATGCATTTAACATGGCTTACCTACAACAATAAGTAACTGACAATAAGTATTTTATGTTCATGATCAAATATTGGTTGCTGTTCTTATAACAAAAATTATTTAGTCTGGGGTTGAAATTGCTAATCCTGGGGTAGGGAAGGCTATGGTATGCCAAGTTTTAAAGTTCTGCACAAAAAGCAGATTCTCTTGAAAGTGAAATTATAAAAAACTACAGAATATATATACTGTATTTTCATTTTGCTATCATGAATAGCTTGTTTTGCCAATTGTGTAATTTTTAATATTAAGAATATTTTTGGGTTATGGAAACATGCTTTAGTCTTGTTCATTTTCACCAACAAGTATCTTCTGGTTATAATCATGTTATCATTGGTGGATTGAAACAATTTTATCGCAAATTTTAGACTTCAAAAATAAAAATTCTAAAAGTTTTTGCAACTATTCAACTATTAGCTTACTCGTTTCTGCCTTGTCCTGCTCTTCGCTTGTATGCTCGCCCTTGCGAGTCTTTCAATAAAGGCCCAACCATCATCAGGACCTCTGTATTGACCAATGCGTTGTAATCGCGGTGTTGGATGATACATGTTATTCCATCAATTGTGCCATCAAAAACTGCCTTGCCAATAGCACAGTGTACTTCCCTGCAGCATCTGTATTCTAACGCACCCACCAACAGTTCATCTTTACACTGTGAACACGAGCACCTTTAGAAAAGGAAAGAAGATTTAAATGGGTTAAGTAAAAACGTGATTTGAATTGGAAAAGATGCGAGTGAATAAATTACAGATGCGAGTTTTTTTCGAAGACGGCTCGGACTAAATGATTCATTCACACGTTGGGGCCTAAGTAGACCCTAGGCTTGCTTGCCCTAAACCAAGTTATTGAAGGCAGGCCTGTCGTCTAGGCCCTGCGAGTGACTGAATTTCTCAGGAAAGAATTTATCTAATACTTCATATGTAATTAAAGTCACCTACCAGTCATTCACAGCAACTCTCTTCTCGAATCTGGCCTCCAGTGTTTCACGAGGAATGCCATCCTTGTCTTCCTCAAAATTCACTCGCGCTTGCCCAGGCAGAGCCAGTGGTTCGTCTTGGTATGGAGCGTGAGCTTGTAAGTTCACAACTTCATAATCTCCGTCAGTTGAACTATCGATTAATGAAAATTGCTCTGAAATACTTTCGGTGCTGCTGTATTCGCTGTCCGACATCTTGCGTTAATTTGGTAAAACTAAAATGAATCCATCTTCGACAGGCATCTACTGACGTCTGACCGGAGTGCGCTTTGTTGTTGTTTGCTGTTTGCAATGTGTTCTACTTTCTACGTCACACGCGATGTGCGAAATTCGCCATGACCTCATAACTTTGGCGGCCTTTTGTAAACAATTTAATGTGTTGCTGCTAATTATTTTTATATCATATTTCTCAGCAAAGATTGAAGTTTCTTTTAAGGCCAAAAAAGACAATTCGAAAATTTCGTTGCAGTAGCACTTTAATGGTTGGGAGATTAAGGGGTATTAGGGATTCACTGGTCAGGTAAAAGATATATTGAGGTGTGTTCTCAACAAGAAGAACGTTGATATTTCTTGGTACAATTTCAAGTTGAGAAGATTGTTAGTAAACCCAGAAAACCAGATGAACTCGATAATATTGGCAACAAGTTTATTTTTTCTTCTTTCTTCCTCGCGATCTCTTGCAAGTATTAGTCTGAATACTTCTTCCTTTAACCTTTGGTTTTTCAGTTTTATTAACATCCGCTCTTACTTCAGATATAAGATTTGGTTTAATCTTGGAAACTTGTTGCAGCTGGATATTGTCATCAGTAACTTCATCAAACAT